TAGACACTGAGTAAATTCGATACACATGATCTTCCAAATTGAAAACCATACTGTCTGTATAATTATGTCATTTCTCTCCAGGTGTTCTTCCCATTTGGATTTAATGACTTTTTCCAATATTTTGACTATTACACTTGTCAATGATACAGGTCTATAATTAAATGGGTCTTCCCTGCTTCCACTTTTGTAGATTGGAACTATGTTAGCCTTTTTCCACACATCAGCTACAACTCCTGTAAACAGGGATGCCTGAAAAATCAGTTGAAGAGGAATGCTGAGCTCAGGTGCACATTCTCTCAGAACCCATGGTGAAACTCCATCTGGACCAACTGCTTTGTTCTTATTTAGCTCCTTGAGCATTTTTTCCACTTCGTCTCTAGACACCTCTATGTGCTCTATGTTGTTCTCTGGAATTCTTATTGTGTCTGGTTCCCTGAAGATTTCATTTTGTACAAACACACTTTGGAACTTTTCGTTTAATGTTTCACACAATTCCTTTTCATTTTCCGTGAATCTATTTCCCATTTTTAACCTCTGAATATTATCCTTTACCTGCAATTTGTTGTTTATGAATTTATAGAATAGACCTGGTTCTGTTTTACATTTGTCTGCAATCCCTTTTTCAAAATTTCTTTCTGCCTCTCTCCTCACTGCCGTGTAGTTGTTTCTTGCATCTTTGTATCGCTGGTATGTTTGGGGGTTCGGCCTCTTCCTGTATTGATTTCATTTTTGTGTCTTTTGGTCTCTGGCCCTCTCGCATTTTCTGTTTAACCAATCCTGTTTCCTAGTTCTGCTTCTCTGTTTTGGTATAAATTTTTTTGTGCCTTTATCATATATTTCACAAAACCTGACATACATCTCATTCACTTCCTTGCCTAGCAACAAGTCTGTCCAATTATACTCACTAAAAATTTTTCTAAGGTTGCCATAATGTCCTCTCCTAAAGTTAGGTTTTTCAATTGCATCGACCGTCATATTTTCTTCCAGATTATAACGCATTGCATACTTTATTCCCAAAAAGACATGGTCACTTTTACCCAAGGGAGGAAGGTACTGAATGTCAAATATTTCTTCCTTCTTCCTGGTAAATATCAAATCTAGCATGGAGGGAACGTCCCCTTCCCTCATCCTCGTAGCTTGGTTAACATGCTGATACAAGAATGTTTCCAGGATGAGGTCTACAAATTTACAGGTCCAGAAATCTTCTGTTTTAGCTTCACATGCTTCCCAGTCTATGGATTTCAAGTTGAAGTCGCCGACTATCAACAGTCGTGAACTATCGTTATCCGCTCTCGCTATGATCTCTCTCATTAATGTTATAAGACCTTCTCGTTTACTATCTAGCTCCTCCTTTGACCATTTATATATATTATAAACAACAGAGGTCCCAGGACAGAGCCTTAAGGCACTCCACTTACAGCATTATCCCACTCTGACTTAACCCCATTTATACTAACTCTGTTTCCTTTGGAATAGCCATGCCCTAATCCAACTTAATATTGCACCCCCAATACTATAAGCCTCTATCTTTTTAATCAGTTTTTCATGTGGCTCAGTATTAAAAGTTTTGTTAAAGTCAAGGTACACATCATCACAATCCTTACCACTATCAACTGCCTCAACTATGCTGGAATAAAAAGATAGCAAATTTGTTAAACATGAACGGCCATTTGTAAAACTATGTTTGCGACAAATTTATTAATTTATGTTTCTCAAGATGAAGACAAATTGTATTTGCCTTTATCGATTCAAGTAATTTTCCCACAACAGACGTTAGGCTAATTGGCCGATAGTTTGACGAAAGTGATCTATCTCCTTTCTTAAAAATTGGTACCACATTAGCAACCTTCCATGACTTTGGCACTCTGCCTGACTCTATTGATTTATTAAGTATGGTAGACAGTACAGTCGTCTGCGTTCTCTTTCTAGAGTGGTCCCCTTTCTCACCCTCCTCACAGGCACAGTGCTTCAAGCAGACCTTGTAAACTTCAGCTGTCAGTTGAGCTATTCCCTGTCGAGGCGGAGTTACCTGTACCTCTTCCCTCTGGTCCGGTTGTTGCTCCAGATCCTGGCTCGGTTAGAAACTTACCAAGGAAGAGTAGTCCTGTTGGATCCTTGGTGGCTGGGCCAGCTTTGGTTTTAGGTGCTTCTTGCTCGATGTCTGAACCCGAGGGGTCTTCCCGCTGCTCCGCCTCTTTCAGCAGATCGGTCCGGTCCGTTACGTGGCTGGTTCGATCTTCTCCTCCACTCTTTGCATCTGGTCTTTTTAACGCGGGTGTATCACCACTTTTATGGTGATCAGGTGACTTAGTTGATGGTGTCCCACCTGCGAGTTTCGTCTAGACGGCAGTATGAATTTTCCTGGCGGTCCATTTCAGATATTTTGGTCTCTTCGTAGGTTGTCTTCGATTTCTGATCGGGTTGTTTTGTCCTTTCTCTTAGTTGTTTCAGGACTGTCATCTTGTGCCAAATACTGTCGTCTCATTTCGTGCGGCGCTGGCGGAGTTGCTGCAGCTTGCTTTCGAGGTGGATGTCACTTCTGCTCCGTTCCGCAAGCTTTCTCGGGCGTTGTTTCACTTCCGGCCTTCTCATGCGCTGCCTGAGCCATCCTGGTCATTGGACCGGGTGCTCTTTCTCTCTTCTCCTCGGTTTGTGGTGGCCCCCTTGGTTCAGGACTGTTTTTCTAAGGATCTTTTCTTTTGGGCATTAGCCTCTGGGAGTCGGATCGGGGAGCTTCATGCTGTCCTCCGGCGCAGGGGTTTCTGTTGTTTCGCTCCTGGTGGTCGTTTCGTTCGTTTCCAGCCTTCTCCTCCTTTTATGGTGAAGAATCGGTCTGCTGGTTTCCGATGGGGTCCTTGGGTTGTTGATGTTTGGTTGGTTCGGCCGGGGGTGCATCATGTTTTGTGTCCAGTTGAGGCTCTTCGTCGCTATCTGCGCATCACGGCCTCTGAGGCAGGGGACACGCTTTGGTTGGACCTGGTTTCCCTTCTTTCCTGTTCCAAGGCGCGGTTCTCCCAGGTCGTCCGCAGGATTATTTGGTCCAACCAGCCTGCAGTCTATCCCCCATGCCCACGACGCTCGTAAGTTCACGTTTTTGGCTGCTGTTTTTGGGAATATGTCCTGGGCTGACATTCGGGCACGGGGCTTTTGGAGGTCCAACAGGTTCCTGGCTGCACGGTATCTCGTTAATGTTCCTGGCCCTTCTCGGGCATGTGTAGCCTTGGGTCGCAGGTTGCAGCCATTTGTCTCGACTTGGAGTTGAGGAGTGGGTGACGACCGCCTCCCAGGTTAGTCCCTCTTTTTCTTGTCTTTGGTTAGTTAGCTCCGGGGAGCCGGAGGGGCTCTCCGCAATAAACCAGCGTCGTTGAATGTAATGAAACGCCATTTTCTGCGTGAGACCCGGAGGCTCCCCGGCATCCCTCCCTCCCTCCGGTCAGCGGTTTCGCGTTTTTGATACTCAGCCTCTGAACTGAGGAGAGTTGCCGGAGTGGAGGTCTGGGGTCCCCCCATCCACCTCCCGGGGAGGGGGGGGGGTTGCGCAGACGGATGCATTACGTTTGTGGTGATGTCATACTTGTTTTCTTGGTTTTGATTGGGGAGTTCTGTTGTTAGTTCGACTTTCTGGTTGCAATTTATTTGATCAGCAGTAGTTTGTTTTGGAATTCCTACCTTTCAGGGTGCCTGACCTGGTAGATGGCAGGCAAAGACTGCTTCCAATTACAAGAGGGTGTCTTTAGGCCATTGCTCCTCATGCCTCTCTTGAGAGGGGCCAGGTTCTGGCTCTGATCCACGGTAGGCCTAAAACTCCTTCGATTGACTGCTGCCACGGTCTAATATATACACATCAGCCCTGTATAGCTCCGGGGAGCCTCCATGTCTCACCCAGAAAATGACGTTTCATTACATTCAATGCTGTTTTTTTCATTTATATAAAGTATATCCTAAATATGTCCTCTAAATCATTATAATTATTATAATTATCCATATATTTTGTTTTTTGGGGGGTTATTTTTTCTTGACTTCATTTCAACACATATTAACCTACAACTTTCATATATTCGAGTACGAATGTCAAACAATGTTTATTAAAACATACAATTTAATTAATGAATTAAAACTACCTTTATTCAGTGTTGATAACTTCAACCTCAATTATCTCTGAAACTAGAGTTTCAACTTTGAGTGGCTTCTAAAACTCCATTTTTTGACCAATTCTCACTAATCTGATATATTGTGTGCTCAGCTGTCTGTTCTACAATCCCTTCAGAATGGATTTTTCATAAACTTTATACATTTGGAGTCATAATTTTTTTTTATCTAAATTTGCCGCATATTTCAAATACCCTACTGACAATTTTTTTTACAGTATACTGTACTGAAAACTTATATTTTAATTTGATGAAAATGAAGATCATATGCTATTCTGAGAGAATAATAACATTAAATGAACAATTGGTGATAGTTCATATTTTTTATTCTGAATAAAAAATTTGAAGTTTTCAACATTCAATTTTAAAATTAATTTTGATTCTCCTGTTTTTCAAGTTACGCTGTGATCATCTAAACAAAGTTGGAGCATTTGCCTAGATGATTATGCAAAAAAAATTGGAAGGTGTTTAACCAAGTTTTAAAAACTTATGTTAAATTATTTTATGTAAAATCATATATGTATGTATTGTGTGGTCTAAGGGTTAAAGAGCAACCAACTGTACTGTTCAGAAAACTGCTTTTAATCTGCATTCACAGTTATATTTTATAAATTTTCATTATTTTATATACTGGACAATTAGGAAACAAGACAAAATGTGAGTAAATATGTGAATAAAACATGATGTAGGGTAAAATATTTGACAACGCAAAGCACTGTAAAAAATATTCTATTACCAATGCAGGGTTTGTTAAATGTAAACAGATTCTAAACAACTCTTTTTATATTAATAAAAAATAACAAGTAAAATTAACATCTAAGCAATGAAAGTTATGCATCAAGAAATACTTACGTCAGTTCTTCCACCTTTTCTCTTGCTTGATCTAGTTCCAGTTGCAAAGTTTCTGCCTTCTCCTCTGCCATTTCCTTATCGAGTGTCAACATTTCCACAGTTTCAGTTAGCTCCTGAGTATCCTCTGTGTGGCGGTCTTTGGCTTCTATGGCCTCTCGTGCTTCAATCTTGGCCTTCTGGAGCTCACGTTGTAGCTGGTTCTGAAGGCAAACATCTAACTTGAAAAAAAAGCTGTTTTCCTTATAAATATAAGGCTCAACATAAGAAGCTGCCCAACAGCATGGAGCTGATAAACTTCTAACATACTTATCAAGCAGAACTATCAATTCTTTATCAATCTATTTGTTCAACCTAAGTAATTTTCTCATCCTATTTGAGTTAAAAGCCATCTCATGTCCTGCTAACAACATTTACTATCTATACTAATCTGCAAATATGTAAGCAGTGCTCAAATATTCTAGCTATTATGTGTGAGGTAAGGCACTACATTTTTGGGGGTTATCAGAATTTTATTTTACCAGGTAACTTAAGAGAGGCTACTGGGTGAAGAAAAAAATGATCGTTGAATGTAATGAGATGCCATTTTCTGGACGAAGCCCAAGAGGCTCCCTGAAGCCATCCAAACTGTTAAGTGCTATATTAGTTTGCGGTCATCAGTCACAAGGGGTTCTGTGCCTACTGGGAGCCAGAGCCAGAACCTGGTCCCCTCAGAGAGGCACAGGGAGCAATGGTGTATGAATACAGTGGCACCTCGATTAACGAGCGGCTCTATTTACGAGCATTTCCAGTAACGAGCGAGCCACTCGCAGCAAATTTGTCTCTATTGATGAGCTTCACCTCTATTAACGAGGAAAACCACATGGTGCTTCCTAGCGTCTCGCGGGATCTCGCAAATTCTCGGACGCTTCCGACGCCAGTGTTGTTGTTTTATCGCACACGACAAGCATCCCTCTGGATTTATTTGCGCTTTTCTCTGTTTTTTTTTGTGGTTTTGTGACTGCAATTTGTAACGCACGATGTCTCCAAAGAAGCTGCTTGCTAAAGATAGTGTTGTCAAGATGAAGAAAGACACAATTACTGTGGATTTGAAGAAGGAAATTATAGCAAAGCATGAGCATGGTGTCTATGTGACTGATCTCACAAGGGAGTATGGCAGGGCCTCATCAACAATTTGCACCATTAGTAAGGGGATGAGGAGGTAAGGGAGGATGCTGCCTCTTCCAGTGAGATCAGGGAAGTGTCGGGAATGTTTGAAAAGGTGACCGCATTCTTGGAAAAGCTGCACTGATAAAGCAGTAACAACCCGGTGTGTGAACATGTTTAATGACAATTTGCTGTCTTGTTTTAGGAACATCCTAAAACAAAGACAAAAGCAATTGTCAATAGATACATTCTTTGCAAAGTAGAGAAATTTCTTGTTACATTCTTGTGTACAAGAATGTAACAACTCTTGTATATATCTCAATAAAAAAAAAAAAAAAAAAAAAAAGAGCCAGTGATAGTAAACCACAACCCGGTCCCAGTAGGGTGAAATTCCCAAGAAGAGAGAGCCCGCCTGACTCAGAGGTGGATTCTCCTTCCACACCGTAACCCCTCTCCTCCTTCCCACCTCCCCATCGTCTCCCTCAAGCCAGCAACAACTCTTCATAAGGTAGAGTAAACATGAAAACAGTACAACAAAACATTTATAATTACAAGTGCAGTATTATATTTACATAAAAAAATGTCATACATGTATGGATGTTTTTGGGAGTGGAACGGATTAAATTTATTTCCTTTATTTTAAATGGGGAAATTTGTTTCTTAAGATGCGTTTTCCAGATAACGAGCTCAGTGCCAGAACGGATTAAACTCTATAATAGAGGTGCCACTGTACTACACACTTAAATTACAGTACATCATATTCTGCCATCGACCGGGCTGGGCACCTAGAAAGATAGGTGAACCAAAACAAGCAACTAGCCAGTAAAATTGCAACCTACAGCCAGAAAAAGCAAAAAAACACTCCTGCTGAAAGAAAAATAACAGAAAATAATAGAAACTAGCATCCTGCACACAACTAGTACTCTCGCTAGTTAGTGTAACCCCCACCCCAGACAAGGGGGAGGGGGTTACTCATCCATCCATCTCAGTTCTAAGCCTGATGGGAAAAATCACCAACCAGAGGGAGGGAGGGGTGTCAGGGAGCCTCCGGGACTTTGTCCAGATAATGGATTTTCATTACCTTCAATGCTGTTTTTTGGGGGGGAAACCCTATTAGCTCCCTGGAGGTAACTACCCACAGAGAAGGAAAATAGGGATATACCTGGGAGGCGGCAGCACCACAGGGCTCAAGTCGAAGAAGATACTGAAGGCCTTGACAGACACCTCAAAGCAACACAAGGCCGGAGAAGGTTCTGAATGTTCCTAGGGAAGGGTACCCTAAGTGCATGCAACTCCAGTACAAGAACACCTTGCCACCACACCACAAACATCTGGTACAGCCACACAGAACAAAATCCAGAACAGGAACTTGAGGCCAGAGGTTACCGAGTGACTGCTAGCACATCAGGGCAAGAACTGAGGTAGTGGACTGCAAGCTCACCTGGGATGGCTCCCCCCTCCCGCATTGTCTGGGGGTTATAGGATGCTAGTTTCTATTATTTTCTTTTAGTTTATTTTCTTTCAGTAGGAATTTCTTTGTTTTTTCTGGCTGTAGGTTGTTCTTTTACTGACTAGTTATTTGTTTGGGTTCACCTATCTTTCTGGGTGCCCACACCAATCGGTGGCAAAATATGACATACAGTACTTTAAATGTAAAGTTCTCATACACGATTGCTCCCTGCTCCTCTCTGAAGGGACCAGGTTGTGGCTCTAGTTCCCAGTAGGCATAGAACTTCTTGTGACTGATGACCCCAAAACTAATATAGCATATATCAGTTCGGATAGCTTCAGCGAGCTGATAGCGTTCCTCCAGAAACATGTATTGTTGGTCTCACTGACAGCATCTTATATCACTTTTAAAGGCTTCATTCTAATTTTTCCAGATACTATAGTGTGTACTGTACTGGATATACATATACATCTTGTTGTCAGTGTCTCAAAGTTATCAATTGTAAAAATATAACCAATGTCCCACTCACTTCTGCAGACTTCATCATCATCATCATTACCCCATTTCCTACTTTCATGAGATGGGGAGGTACTCGCCCGGAAAGGGTGGGAAAGCATTGCAAGAAAAAAGGTGAAATAATTGAAACAATATAATAAACCAAGCATTGAATGTATTGAAATGCCCTTTTCTTGTGGACCCCCAGTAGCTTCTTCAGTTTAGTGCTAGTACCACCAAGACATAGCTAAACACACCAGGAATCTGAGACCACCTGCTTACCAGGAGCCAGGACCAGAATCTGCCTCACTCTACAAGGTGAGTGGAATTTGGTAATCAGAGATAAACCTTAACCCCTCAACAACGCCAGCCAACACACCTCGTTTTGAGAGTTGAACTTTTTTTTTCTTAATTAGGCAATATTTTAATGTTTGTTAATGTTTTCAACACTCGTTGGGTTTTCAATGAAAAAAGTTTAATTTGGAAACATCTTGACATTAACTTTACCTGAACGTTTATAAAAACAAAACAAAAAAAAACAGCGTTATATGTAATGAAATGCCATTTTCTGGGTGAAACCTGGAGGCTCCCTGGAGCTTACTAGGCTGATATGCTAATGTCAGACTTTGGCATCAGTCATGTGTATGGAGTTCAATGGACCTACCGGGGACCACGAGCCAGAACCTGGCCCCCACAGATGAGGCAAGGGAAGCAATGGCCTATGGAAACCGCGGTGTGGTTGGAAGCATTCTATATCTGCCATCGACTGGGTCAGGCACCCAGAAAGGTAAGCATCCCAAAACAAACCCCTATTCTGGTGAAAAAATTGCTACCAAAAGCAGAACAAATGGACAGAACTCCCCTAAACAAAACGAGCAAACGATCATGATGTCACACTTCACCGTGCCACTGTCTGCAAAGATTCCTCCTCCTCGGGAGGGGGAAGGGAAAGCCCCAGACCCCACACACCAGCTATTCACCCTTTAGTTCTTAAGCTGGATGTCGAAACACGTGAAAAACCGCCGACCGGAGGAAGGGAGGGAGGGAGGGATGCCGGGGAGCCTCCGGGTCTCACTTAGAATATGGCGTTTCATGACATTCAACGCTGGTTTTCTGGGAGTGCCCATTCAGCTCCCTGAAGCTAACTACCCACAGAGGAAAAAACATAGGGACTTACCCGGGAAGTGGTCGCTGCTCACTCTTCAACTCGAAGTAGACACAACTAGCTGCAACCGCCGACCCAAAGCGACACAGGCCCGACTAGGCCCAAGGACGTTCACAACGTAACGAGCAGCCAGGAACCTGATTGACCGCCAAAAGCCCTGTGCCCAAATGTCAGCCCACGACATGTTGCCAAAGACAGCAGCAAGAGCAGCGAACGTACGAATGTCATGGGCACGGGGATAGACCGCAGGCTGGCTAGCCTTAATAACTCTGCGGATGACCTGGGAGACCCGCACCCGCGAATAGAGTAGAAGGTTATCTTGAGATGATTTCGGGCGTTTTAGTGTCCCCGCGGCCCGGTCCTCGGCCAGGCCTCCACCCCCAGGAAGCAGCCCGTGACAGCTGACTAATACCCAGGTACCTATTTTACTGCTAGGTAACAGGGGCATAGGGTGAAAGAAACTCTGCCCATTGTTTCTCGCCGGCGCCTGGGATCGAACCCAGGACCACAGGATCACAAGTCCAGCGTGCTGTCCACTCGGCCGACCGGCTCCCCTAAAGGTAAACCAGATCAACCCAAAGCGTGTCCCCGGACACAGAAACCGGCGCGCAAATAATGGCAAAGAGCCGCAACCGAACATAAAACATGATGCACCCCTGGCCTAACCAACCAAGCATCAACAACCCAGGGACCCCTCTGGAAAGCAGCAGTCTCATTCTTCGCCAGAAAAGAAGGAGACGGCTGCAAACGAACAAAACCATCACGAAGACCAAAAGAGCAGAAACCCCTGCCCTGGAGGAGAGCATGAAGCTCACCAACCCGACTCCCAGAGGCCAATGCCAACAGAAAAATAGTCATGGAGAAACAATCCTGAACTGAAGGGGCCACAACAAACCGAGGAGAAGAGAGATAAGAGATCAATCTGTCCAATGACCAGGATGGATCAG